TGTGTCTGTGTGTGTGTGTGTGTGTGTGTGAGTGTGCGTGTGTGTGTGTATGTGAGTGTGTGTGTGTCTGTGAGGGAGAGAGAGAGAGAGAGAGGGGGGGAGATGGAGGGAGATGGAGGGAGAGAGGTGAGAGGGAGGACAATAAGATGATCAGAGAGAACTTAGATGTTTTGGCTGTCGTCAGGGAACCTTATGTTCTTTCTCTTCACGCCAACCCCCCACATGTTTTTTTTAAAAAGTAGCGCATCTGGGTGTGGGGGTGATAGTATAACATTACCCTGCACAGGCCGCACGGTAAACGCATTATCGTGGTTAACCTGCACCTCTCCGTCTGTAATTATTTTGTACACATAAGCTCTTCAAATTGCGCACTTTATATAACCACACCTTTAACTGAAACAGGCTTAAAGTTTTCTCGTAACTGGCGAAAATACACACATCATACAGCTGAAGAGCTATTCTGGTCAAGTAGGCAGCTTCTCTGCCCACACAAGCGTAAAAGACTATCAACTTCTTTCGTTCTCAACGACGTACTTACCTAAGTAAAAAAAAACACAAACCCAACACATTAATAGCACCAAAGAGTTTCTTCAGTTTCCGCTGTATTTCCGCGTCCAACATCGGTCGCTACACACCCACTTCCATATTTGGGTAATGACGTCACGTCCTACTACTGTATTTCTTATTTCCATCACATCTGAGTAGGAGACACGATAAGTATCCACTTGACAAGACAGTGAAAAGGCGGTGCGAGAGAGTATATAAGCGAGTGTGTTTGCTTTCAAAAGTAAAATCTTGTGCTGCAACAAAGTTACAGTAAAGAAACTGAACAAAATACTAGCTTTTGTAGAAATTTGATCTACTTCGGACTCATAAGTTTAAACGTATTTCAAACAACAAGAGTCAACATGTTCAAACTAATTTGCGCCTTTCTTTTCCTTCATATGGCGATCACACACGGCGGTGTCGTCAAACGGGAGACAGTCACTGTGTGCAAACAACGTCCTATTGAGCTGGGAATCGTTCTCGATTCATCCAGTTCTATAAGCTACAAAGACTTCCAGAAGAGCATTGATTTTCTCCAGGACTTTGTCAGCCAGTACGATATCGGAAATGGCCGCAATGACGTGAGAGTGTCCCTCATCACCTTCGGCAAAGGTATCTACCGACAAGATGCCTTCGATCTGACCTCTTACAGCACCAAAGAGGCCTTGATGGAAGCTATCGCTCAAGTCCCACACAGGGTCGGCCTCTACACCTCCACAGGGGAGGCTATTGAGTACATGAGCCAGACACAGTTGTCCGTGGACGTGAGCAGACCGTGGGCCAAACGTATCAGTATCGTCATCACAGACGGCAACTCACAGATTTGGCGCCAAACCAGAGACGCTTCCCAGGCCGCACGTGACAGCGGTATCGATATATACGCTGTTGGTGTGGGACGCGTGCGTCGCGAGGAGTTGCTGAGAATCGCCGGAGACGAGAAGAACGTGCTCAAAGTAGACAGCTACGACCAACTGAAAGAGATCAAGGAGATGCTTGCTTACAAAACCTGTACCGAAGTGGAGAAAACCACCACCACCACCACCACCACCACCACCACCACCCCTCCACCCCAAACCCAAAAGTGTGGTGAGGAGAACCCTGCCGACATCTACTTTGTCTTCAGTCCTGCGGAGCTCGGCTTAGAATCAACCTCCTGGACCACCTCCTTCGTCTCAACCACTGTCAAACAAGAAGAGATGGATGAAGGCTTCCGATTCGGAGTCGTATCCGGTTCCTGTCCTGACGATGAAGGATTTGACCTGGACGATTACACCTCTGCGGAGGAAATCGATAACAGACTGACCAGCTATCTGAGACCACGTATGTCCGGCCTAGTGAAGCGACTGTCCACTTCCGGCTACTCACAAGTCTCCGGTGGCCGCAGCGAGGCTCGTGACGTCGCCGTTCTCGTGGCAAAGAGCGGGAAAAGGAACAAGGGTCTGGAGGCGGAGGTCAGACTTCTGCAGGAGAAGGGAGTTCAGGTATTCATCGTTGACCCCACAGGTTCTACCATCAGTATTGAAGGAGCCACCACTCTGACAGGACTCACCGCCAAGGAGGCCTCGACAAACCTCGTGAGCCATCTGTGCCCAGTCAGAACCGGACAGGCTTAAGCACGCCCGCTTCCTTATTCCCTGACATCCCATCTCAGAAGTCCATCCACAGACAATGTGCAATTGCCCAATACAGGTCTTTGCTGTCTAGAAATGTTGTGATTTTACATATCCTGGTGTTTTTGTGTTTTGAACTCTAAACGAAAGTCTTCGTTTCAATGTACATACATAGGAGATATAATTTGGATGCTATTTTTATAGTGCGAGTGCGTGCCCAGTACTTGTATTTTTGTGGGTGTTTGTGTATCAGCGTGTTTTAGAATGCATGTATATAGTATAGTTATGAGTGGATTTAATTGTGTGTATGTTTCTATAGGAGTACGTGTGTAAGAGAGAAAGAGTGAGAGACGAGAAGAGAGAGAGAGAGAGAGAGAGAGAGAGAGAGAGAGAGAGAGAGAGAGAGA